CGCGCTCGCTGTTGTCGCCCTGTTGATGACATCAGCAACGCGATTTAATCGGGCGCGCTTTAGTCGAGCGCGGTTTTGTCATGCCACGCAATCAGCATACAGTCCAGTTGCTAGTTGACCTCTGTCTCCACCTTTCAAATACCTGCACCAAAGTCCTTGATTCCCAGGGGAAAGAGTTTTTTATTGAGGGTTCAACACCCCAGCTATTTCTACACACACACACCCATGCCCCTTCGCTCATGTGATTCCCCCATTGCAACTTTCCGACAAGCAAGGGCAATGGGGAAGCCCGATTCCCTTAACAACCGTGTTACTGACTTAACTGCAGCGATTCACTTAACAACTGTGGCAAGAAAGGTCATTACATGGGGCAAAGTTCACCTATCAACTGTCTTGCTTAGCGGCAGAAATTTTGGGCTCAGTTGCGGCCATAAGGACTCTCTGTATTTCAATCCCTCTATTTGATATCCCCTTCACAACCTCTCTCTTGTTTTAGACATTCCAGGGAGAGGAATTTATCTTTTAAGCGCTTAAGAGAAAGATTCCTTGTCTCTTTTTGAAACCACCGTATTTTTCGGAGTATAAGATGCAGCAAGGTTTTGAAGAGGCAAATTTAAAAAAAAAGTTTTTGCACTCTGCAAACACCCCCAAAATGGCCTGTTTTTCACAAAAACAGTACCCTTTTTTTTTAAAGGGCATGAATAGCCCTTAAAGGGGCAAAAACAAGCCTTTTTTTCTCGCAAAAATGGGCCCATTTTTTGTCAAAAAAAAAGGGGCATTAGGAAGCTTATAGAGTGCTCCTGGGGGCTGGGGGGGAGGGAAATTGGGCAAAAAACGGGCTGTTTTTTGCTCATTTCTTCCTTTCCCAACCCCTAGGAGCACTCTAGAAGCCTCCTAAAGGCTATGCATGGCCATTTTGGTGAAGGGGGTGGGGTTTCGGGAGACCAAAAATGCTGTATTCAGTTTATAAACGCACCCAGATTTTCACCTCTTTTTTGAGGGAAAAAAGGTGTGTCTTATACTTTGAAAAATACGGTATTTTATATCAGCCATTTATCCTCTCTCTCTTTTTTTCTTCCAGAAAGCAGAAGAACGTCCAAGTTTCCAAGTCCTCCTTGGGCAAATTATGGATTTAGCGAATGAAGATGTCTGATCCCCCTCGGTCACCCAATGTACATTTTCCCCTCTAGAATTGTTGCCATGTTCTTCAGTTTGCTGAGGAATTGCTGAATGGACCTGGTGAAAAACACAATCAGCAAGAAGGCAAACCAAAATAGCTTGATTGATTGAGAACTGTCTCCGTCCCCTTTTACTCACTTTTGTGTTTTGTCTTCAAGCCAGCCAAAACCAGGGCTGTATAGGTTGTTTTCCTATCCAGTAGGATAAGGTGCAGCTTGTCCCCACTGAAGTGCGATCATCCCAGTCCCAAATCAGCCAAAAACAAAACCCACATTAAATTGTCTGTCTTCATTTCTGATCCCTGACCCACCTTAATCTCTGACTTCCATTCAGAGGTAATGCTGGCAGCTACCCACCTCTGCTGCCTTCCCTTCATGATCATGGGTGTGAAACCAGGGGTGAAATTCATCAGGTTCTGATAGGTTCTGGAGAACCGGTAGTGGAAATTTTTAGTAGTTCAGAGAACCAGTAGCGGAAATTTTGAGTAGTTCGGAGAACCGGTAGCAGAAATTTTGAGTAGTTCGGAGAACTGGTAGCGGAAATTTTGATTAGTTCGGAGAACCGGTAGTGGAAATTTTGAGTAGTTTGGAGAACCGGTAGCGGAAATTTTGAGTAGTTCGGAGAACTGGTAGCAGAAATTTTGAGTAGTTCGGAGAACCGGTAGCAGAAATTTTGAGTAGTTCGGAGAACTGGTAGCGGAAATTTTGATTAGTTCGGAGAACCGGTAGTGGAAATTTTGAGTAGTTCGGAGAACCGGTAGCGGAAATTTTGAGTAGTTCGGAGAACTGGCAAATACCACCTCTGGCTGGCCTCAGAGTGGGGAGGGAATGGAGATTTTGCAGTATTTTTCCCCTGCCATGCCCACCAAGCCACGCCCACAGAACCAGTAGTAAAAAAAATTGAATTTCACCACTGTGCGAAACCCTCCCAGTTTTTGCCCATCTGGAGATTAATTTTGGATTACGGGGAAAATCCTGCTTAGGGTTCGATAGAATGAAAACCCCTGTTGGAAGCAGAATGGACTATGATTAACAGGCAAATGGCAGAGGAAGAATATAAGAATGCCTAGGTCTTCCAAGATTGCTTGAAACAAGATCATGGGATTTAATAAACTTTGGAGAATGCAGATGTTCCGAAATGTCTTGTGCAGCGATGGATAAAAAGACAGAGAAGCGATAGGAAAAACGAATTGCATTTCATAAAAGAGAAAATAAACTCGTTTGCTTCATCACTTTTCTTGGATCCTTGTTGACTTGTTCACTGGGGCTTCATTGACGATCTGCTTTTAATTTTTGTTTATTGTAGACGTGATCCGACTAATGTTATGGTCCCAAATATTCTCTTCCCCAACAAATTACCTTCAATGTCCTGAAAATTTCCTCTGCTCGCAGAAACTGAAGCCGGAAGTCTTAACTCTCCAGATAATCTTTGGAAAAATCTTTTTCCTTTTTTAGAAAACCCAAAATGGACAAAAGTGATACAGGAGAAAGGATAGAGACTTCACATCCAACCAGTGATACCTGAAGTCTGTTTCGCTCGGAAGCAGTGAGAAAATAGAACAGAGAAGTAGTAAAACAGGAAGGAAAAAAAAAGAATTTGCCACAGGATATGTTGTAGACTGTTTTTGTTTTTCCCCCCGCAAGAGATACTACGCAGATTTTGAAAACAAGCTCACAAAATTTAGGCTTCCAGTTATTATTGGTACTTATATGTCTCCCCCCCCCCCACCTCTACTATCAATTTGCTCTCTCAACTGCATGGAAATCTTGTTCATTTACAGCTGGTGTGAACTATAAAACTGAATGATGCACGGAGGCACCGTATGTGTAGAGAATATGTATACAACATGCAAAGTCAAGGCTGCGTTATTAAAATAGCCTTACAATACAGCCTATTTATTCCTGCAAAGGGAGGAGACTGTGGCTTAAATAACTGTAATGTTGCTCTTATCTCTCTATATAAAAGCAGCTGTATGTGTGTGTATGTTCCAGCATAACTCTAGAACGCCTCGAGCAATTTCCACCAAACTTAATACACAGATGAGTTACCCTCTGGAAATAAATACTGTGGGGGGTAAGACACCCCTAAAAGTCCTCGGTGTGTTTGTTCTGTTAAGATACAGTCTGTTGTGCCTTAAAATAGCTTCTACGGTACTGCCATAAATGGCCTCTACTGTGCAGTACAGTGAAATTGCACTTCACAATAGTCCACAAGGGGGCTCCCTTTGGTAAGGGTGAAAATCCAACATTAGAAATTACATTTGATCCGGATATTTTCCCCATATAAATAAATACCTGGGCAACGCTGGGTTATCGGCTAATCATGATTAAATTGGGGGTTTATGTTCTTGTCTGTCCATCCTCAAATAAAGGAGCTTAGGGTTATATTGTGCAGGGCTGAATTTGAAACAAAACATTTTCAATAACTTCACAGGGCAACCTATTGGGAATGATTTCCGCACTGTAACTACTTCCCGCGTCCCAGATAGCCATGTATTTACTGAACCACAGTTTGCTGGGTAAGCCATCATTAAAAGCATTGCTACCCCACATCAGATCGTAATGCATTTTGTTTGGTTCCGGTTTAATATAGGAAATCTTTGTATTCCAGAAAAGCAATGCTTTAGATGTTGATTAAATGAATTTGATTTGATATTAAAATGTCATTACAACACACACACAAGATTTGTTCATTGTTGGCAGGATCCAATTTGGGTCAGTCACGGGGACCAGAGGTTTTGTCTTCCGAGTTTTCGGATTCGTGCTGAAGCCCATTTCCAGGGATCTTTTCTCTAGCAGAGCAGAGGTTCCCTGAAGATTGGCTCCAGTAGGAGTTCGAAAGCTTGGAAGACAAAATCTCCGATCCCAGTAACCGACACAGATTAGATCCCGCAACATTATCCTGAGACATGTATATATTTGCGACCATTGTTTGAAGTGGTGTGGTGGCCTAGGGGTGGAGCTCTTGCCTCACAATTGGGAGGCTGTGAGTTCGATCCCAGGTAGAGGTATGTATTTCTTTCTATGGGCACACCAAGACTATATCAGCTGAACAAAACTCTGCATTGGTGACAGGAAGGGCATCCGGCCATTTATACACTCGGCTAGCTCCATTCAGTTGCCCAGGCTCCACCCCACAAGATATTATGGGGGTCTTTAAATAATGATGATTTGTGATCATTATTTGCTTGGAAATTTGAAAGAAATTTATAAAGTTAAACCATTTTTTTTTAAAAAATCCTTAGGAACCTCTTTATTGGGTCTGTCTGTCTGTCTGTCTGTCTGTCTGTCTGTCTGCCTGCCTGCCTGCCTGCCTACCTACTTACCTACCTACCTACCTACCTACCTACCTACCTACCTACCTCTATATCTCTATATCTATCTATATCTCTGTCTCTCTCTCTCTATTCTTTCTATCTATCTATCTATCTATCTATCTATCTATCTATCTATCTATCTATCTATCTATCTATCTATCTATCTA